AAGGACTTCTAGATGACTTTCTCTGGATGACAAGAAATCAGCTCTTTGAAGTAATAGGTTTATGAAACTCTTTAGGCTCCTTAGGGATGGTGGGTAATTTACAGTCTGTGTTGATGGTATTAATGTTTTCTGGCTTCTTAGTCATCACAGTTAAAGAGGTTTAACTACAGAGAAACTCCCAGCAATTTATATGATGATTTTCTAAAGACATAAGAAATCTGGCTTAATGTCAAACAAGAGCTCAAACAGAGCTCTCTCAAGAACGTTAGCATTTCCAAATGCATTTCAGAAAATTATCTCAATAAATTGACTCCATGTTTTTCAAGTTACATAAGTAAAATGAATGAGTCACAGACACAAGTCTATAATGTTTGAGAAGAACAACATGCTCAAACCCCTCATTTTATACTTGAGAAGTGTGGGGCTGAGGGAGGTTAAGTGGGAGAAGAAGTTGTGGACATATTATAAATAGAATCCTAAAATTTATGGTCAAGCTATTTGGAGAAAGTGGAACAGACTGCCCAGTTCTATTTTGGCTCAAAGAAAGTCCTCTTAACTTTAAGTACCCATGGGTTCCACATCTATTTTTACTCTTGGCAGCCGCAAAACCTTGTTGAATCTTTGAAAGAAATGATTTTGCCAGTGGATTAAATTGCCTAATTTGGCAATCTTGGGGGGAAGAGTGAGAACTACCATGTATAAAGGGACCACTCAATATTCTCACTGTGAGACTTTATGGGTTTCTGACCTAGTTTAAGATGCTCCAGAAATGAAATGCATCTAACATTCCCTCAGAAAGACCCTTTCCTGGCAGATCATGTTGAGGTATCCTTTATTTTTTTAAGTCCAAATATATTTGAATCCCCTGATTTCTCCAGATAATTGTCCTGTGTTTTTACATGTCTAGGATAACAAATTAAGAGTACATTAGACATTCTCAGCTAATAGACAAAGACGTGTTGATAGCTGTCACTATTATATCCTTTCTCTGCAAAATGTTTCTGCTTTCTATCTTATGCTCATCTATGTATGTCAAGTCGAAAACCATGTCCAGCAGACTTTGAAAACATAGAACTAAGAATGAAGACTTAAGAGAAACAAGACAATGATGTGCATGTTCAATCACTGATAATTATACAGAGTGTTAAACTGAGATTATTGATAGGTTTAGAGTGATGACATAGTCTACTGAATTTCTTCTTTTTCTGGAGTCTTTTAGAATGAAATATATATTAAAAGTTTTGTTTTCCATTGCTGCCATAACAAATTGACACAAACACGATGACTTAAACCAACACAAAGTTATGTTGCAGAGGTTATAAGTCTTACACAGGCTCTGCTGGAATAAAATCAGGATGTTATTAGGGCTGTGCTCCTCTTCAAGGTTCTAGGGGAGATGCAGATTTTTGCCTTTTACAGCTTTGTAAGGACCACCCACATTCCTTGGCTTGTGGACCCTTTCTCCATCTTCAGGGTCAACAACCATGGCGTCAGTTCTCACATGCATCCCCCGACCTCCTTGGTAGGTTTCTTCTCTCTGACTGTCTTCTTCTGTCTCCCTCTTCCATTTTTAAGCATTGTTGATTACATTGGGCTACCCCATAATCCAGGATAATCTCCCATTGGTCTGTGACTTTATCCCACCTTTGAAGTCCACTTTTTCCCATGTAAGGTGATGCAGTCACAGGCTCTTTGGATTAGGATGAGGGCACCTGTGGGTGCCATTCTGATACCACAAAGGTATTCAGTTGAATTCTTTACCTCTAAATCTTACCTAAATCATCCAAGTTCTTGGCAAATCCATTATAACATCCACTGGCTTGTATATTAGTCGATTTCCTTTAAATTAGTGTGCAATGAAGGAACAGTTGATTTTAAAATGTAAGCTTACTGTTAAATGATAGTTTTAAGGTTAGCCCAGGTTTGTGGAAAAGGACCAAAAAACTCACAATTCCAAAGAATGTCTTATATAGAACAACCACCAACTCAACACCCCAAAGAAAGAGGATGTGAATATTTGTTTATTTCCCACAGACAAATTAAGAAATCCGTGCACATTAATCCACTCTGGAGTGTGACTCATTTGCATGGCTTGGCTCTAACCATGGGTAATGAATTATATAATTATTACAAAGTCCTCACCTTTGATTCTGTGTAAAATGAATCTGTACAGAAAGTAGATATTTTTTTGAAACTAGTTATACTATCTTGATATACATCATCTAATTATCTATCTGCTCAGTATTTTGACAAATCACCTCATATATACCAAAGCAAGGGTCAGCAAACCGTGGTCCATAGCCACTCTGACCTATAAATAAGAATGGTTTTTACATTGTTCAATGTTTGAAAAACCATCAAAAAAGAATAACAATTGTCTTTCTCTGACTGACTTAATTTCACTTAGCATAATACGCTTCATCCATGTCACTGCAAATAGCAAGATTTCATTCTTTTTTATGGCTCAGTAATATTCCATCACACACACACACACACACACACACAAACACACCTTCTTTCTCTATTCATCAGTTGAGAGATTCTTGGGGTCCTTTCCTATAGCCAAATAGTTTGGCTGTTGTAGATAATGCAGCCCCAAACTTTGGGGTGATTTCACTCATATGTGTAATATAAAAAAACAAAACAAAACAAACAAATGAGCAAAGGGGAAAAAAGAGAGAGAGTTGGGGGGGCAAACTAAGAAACAGACTCTTAACTACAAAGAATAAATTGATGGGACCAGAGGGGAGGTGGGTGGGGGATGGGGGAAACAGGTGCTGGGGATGAAGGTGTGCACCTGTCGTGATGAGCACCGGATGATGTATGGAAGTGTTGAATTACTATATAGTACACCTGAAACTAATATTAAACTGTATATTAGCTAACTGGAATTTAAAATAAAAACTTGAAGAGAGAGAGAAAAAAAAGAGTAACATTTTGTTTCTCAGAAAAATGGCACGAAATGCGAACCTCTGTAAGTGAATTGTTGCTGGAACATAACCGTCCCCACTCCGTGGACGCTTTTGTACTCCAGCAACAGATTTGGACAGCTGCAGCAGAAACCGCAGGACTAGTAAACCCTAAAATATGTCTATCTGGCCCTTTACAGATGGATTGTGTTTATTAACACAAAACTGACATTTTTGAGGTGTAAGTATGTGAAACGTGTGGGAGGTGAAGAGGGGATTTATTTACATGCATTGCTAATGTTAATACACCACTAACAGGCAATCGCACCCAGCTTTTGGGATCAGAACCACTCAAAAAGAACCTAATTAAGAAAAAAAAAATACTTTAAGAGCCACAACAAATAAACACGGGATTCAGTTATGAAACTTTCAGTAAGTATACGTAGGTGAGCTGGATAGATTCTGGGTTTTTGAATCGAGAAGTTACTTATCTTCTGGTCATTGTCAGTATTTGGCAAAGAGGTAACATATTTCCAAGAGGATCTGTAGCATCAGCTCTCAAGGGAAACAGGTGGTGGTGTAGGGAGCTTTCAAACAAAATATCAGAATAATGAAATATTTCCTGGAAGCAGCTGTATCCGACTTCAGCAGTCAAACCTACATAAATCCAAGCAAATAGGCAGATCTGAGTTGTGTATTTCCTCTCACAGAAGATTATTTCAAACAGTGACATAAACACTGTTGCAATTGGTTACAGTCAAGGTTTGGCTTTTACCTTTAAATGGATACTGCACATTTTTAAACCTGAGAGTTTAAATTGAACACCCCGAAATCAGAAAGCTTGCCTATGTATTTCATTTGATGCTGCTTTTCCTCCAGGTAATGGAGTAAGGAGGGAAATGCTCTACATACCCACCCGTGCCTGGTAAATCCTGTGCACAGAATATGATTTCCAACCTGACCAAGCAGCTCTGGTGCTCACAGGGCAGCCCACAAAGGGCAGCACCAGTTTCAGCTACAGGCAAATTCCTTAAACATTTACTGATCACCTGCACTAATAAGCATCATTTTGAAAACTGATTTGGCAAAATAATTGTACAATGCATAACCATTTGTGACATTTAAAATGTTCATTAGGGACCAATATCATCCCTTTCAACTCCTTGGTGGAGGTGATTTCAGGTCCAGGTTACAGACTGGCAAGTGGAGATTCAGACAGTTCCTACAAGGCAGAGCCACACACAACTGCATACCCGAGGCATGCCAATCCAAGGATCCTGCTGCCATTGGCCAAAACTGACCCTGCCACTGTATTACCAACAGTGGGGAGCTTTACCACCTGGGAAGACTTTCACTTCTTAATGACACAGGTTTTCAGTAGGAAGTAAATTACTCACTTTTTTTCTGACAACTAAAGCACACAGTGAAAAGTAGGATGGGGAGCTTAAACAGCTTAGCCAGAGATGGTTTGTGTCTGATTTTGAAAGATTTAATTGTGTTTGATATACTGTTGTCCCCAAACATAATTTTATTTCATTTCAAATCGCTTTGACAGTGCTTGTCACCAATCCCCTACATGCTGCTCTTCTTCTTCCCGTGGAAAGGCCCATGCTGTGAACTCTGTGGATGGGAACCTAGAAATATGGGATATATGCTATCCAGTACGATAAACAGTGTATTTGAGGGCACTTCAGGTGAAACAGAATCATAAAGTGTTCAAAGAGTGAAAAGGAGAATGTTACCATTTGCCTATTTCCTGCCCTTTTAAAATTCATTATGATTGAGGTCCTGACGAAAAGAAATAAGTGATCCAAAGAATATCTTCTCATTTATCCATCATTAATAAAGAAAAATAAAAATGTCAAGTGTCGGTGAAAGCCTTCATTCCATCAAGGGTAAATATAGCACTGATTATGTGGAGACACATGAAATTGCCTGAGTCATTTCAAGGTTTCAGTGCAGCTAATCAATGACCTCTGTCTTCAGATCTCAAAATAATGACTGTCAGTAGTCAATTTTAAAAGTGGGTTTGCTATAGGACATTTGCTCTGTTGGTTTACAAGGGAGATTTTTTCTGGTTCTCTTTTCCAGGCTGACTGGCATGAACCTTCCTTCTCCTGTTATAAGTAGCAAGAATTGGTTACGACTCCATTTTACATCTGACAGTAACCATCGACGCAAAGGATTTAATGCACAGTTTCAAGGTAAGAATGCCCCATTTTATATATAAATAAAAAAAAAGTAGAGGAAGATATTTTGGTCTTTGCACCTTCAAATTTTAGGAGTCTCTTGCTAGAGATAGAGCAAGAGATATAAGCTTGAAAATACCTTCTAGCTCTTTTATGAACAATTAACTCTGGAAGTTTTACAGATACTCCTAGCAACTTCTCAGTAAAGCTTTATTACTTTGGCTAATGTAATGTATTTTATTGTTTTGCTTGAATTATTACTGAGTTTTTATCAATAAGTCAGTAAATATATGCTAGCATTAATTTTAACTCATATACACCTAACCAGAAAATATCCATAGTTGTCTGGTTGTTTTCTTTATCCACTCATTAAAAATGGCACAGCATATAGGTTGTATGAATATGCATAAGTGCATCATCCTATCACTTTCAGTTGTAAAATATATTCACAGTACATAAATCCAGCTACCTGCTTTAATAATTTACAGGTGAGTGAACATCAAAAGAAAAACAAGATTTTTTTCTGTAGCTGAGTGAAACAAAGTCTGTAGTCACTAGCATGAAGGTTTGATTTTGAAGCTTCCTCTTTGTATGAATTTCTAGTGTTTATACCTGGATAGTATTGTATCACTGCCCATATGTTTGTTGGGATTCTTTAAAGATTTATTTATTTATTTATTTGAGAGAGAGAGAGAAAGAGAGAGAGCAGGGGGAGGGGCAGAAGAAGAGAGACAATCCTGAAGCGGACTCCCTGCTGAGAGCTGAGCCCCACAGTGGGGCTCAGGGGTTCATTCCCAGGACCCTGAGATCATGACCTGAGCCAAAATCAAGAGTTGAGACGCTTAACTTACTGAGCCACTCAGGTACCCCGCCCATATGGTTTTAGTAATTAATAATCCTTATCAATACCATAAAAAAGATTCAATTTATTAGGAGATCCATTGAAAACAATCCCACTTTGAATTTACAAACAACAACAATATGACTTTGTCAGAAAGCAAGATGCACTCCCAAGCAAACTTCTCATGGTTCCCCCAAATCATGACTGTGAGAATATCAAGAGTTCAGTTAAGACCACATTCCCTAAGCACTTGCCACATGCAAGCCAGGACCCCAAAACAAGGAAATTATAATAACCCCCATGCTCTAGAATCTAGTAGTTCAGAAAGACAGTTTGCAAACGACCCCCATGAAAGGCAGAATGAAAACCAAAATCATGCTAGCCACTCCGGGAGATTTTAGTAACGTTCTAACAAATGGTCTGAATCGGTCCTATCTAAAAAACATTTTAAATCCCATAATGCCTTCATTGTGTCCTTTTGGACAAGAAGTAGAAAACTAAGAGTAATTTGGAGGAAATTAAATACAGATGGTGCTGAGGAGCGCACATGGAGGTGAGCAGATTTCATTTGCCACCTGTGTCCCTGGGGCATGTGAACCTTCACAGAATGTGCATGACTTAGAATGAAGGGCCAATTTTGTTTTACCAAAATGCATTTGATCCATCATCAGGAGCATTGCCCATCTCACACTGTCTTCTGATGTGCCAGAAAGTTCCTTCTTTTATCCTCTTTGACTGCAGATACAGTGCCTTCCAAGTTTTACAGGAGTCATAGCAATCTGTTTCTTTCCCTGCGATCCAGGCAAGGCTGATCTCCTTTTTCAGACCTGCCTCTATTTGCCTTTATCTTTTAAGGCCATGTACTATATCTGTAGTCATAAGAGGGTGCATATATAATCTATGATATTTATATATAGTGTGGAAGAGCGCACTGGGCGTGGGAGGTGAGGTCACACAGAGACATGGTATGTGGGGGTGTGAATTACTCCATGCAGTCTTGTGGGAAAATCCATCTGAGTTTTGTTGTATCAATCCACAACCACAGACATATCTATCACTGACTTAGAACAATCATAAATTAATATTCAGAAAGCAAAGTGACTGATCAATAGGTAGGTAGGTAGATCAATAGAGCTGTTTCTAAACTGTTATTTGATCTCCAAAGGTCCTGATCCTGATTAATAGATTGACTTTGAACTGCAAAAAAAAAAAATTCTAGGTATCATTCCTCCAACCTGATCAATGAATGTGGCATCTGTACCAGTGACTGGAAGAGAGGCAAAAAATAAAATACCAAATTTGAAGATGCTCCATATTGGTAGATATAAGTAACATTCTGGTTGGCAGAAAATTCTAATAGTTTAGATATATCAGCCATTGATATCTCTCTCTCTCTCTCTCTCTCTCTATATATATATATATATATAGTATAAATAAAAGTATAGTATAAAACATTGTTATATTATATATAGTTATATATATACATATATATATATAGTTAAAGAGTGAAGAGTGATAAGTAGAAAATTTGCATAGTCCTAAGATATAAAAAGGTCCAGAAATATAAGAAGGAATGAACATGGCTTACCAGTAATGTATTAGAAAACATCTTCAGACTGACTTTGAAGTTCAACTCCAAGACAAAACGATTTCAGGGAGCTGCCATATTTTTACTCTCATTAGCACATAGACCTTTGTGCAAAGGAGGCATCGTGCCTAAGACCACAACTAGGCACACCATATATGGAAGTATGGGGTCAGTACCAGATGTCAGCCTTTTGAAGAAAATTGACCAAATGGAGAGCATCCAGGATGGTGTCAAGAAACCTTCAAAAGAGGACGGGAGCACACTTAAAAGGGGTGCCATAAATGTCACGCAAGAAGTCATTGCATGTATATTTTCTGGTCCAGAGAGCAGAAATATCACTAATAAATGGAAGCTACAGGTGGTCCTTCCTGCTGATTCTAGAACGAGTCCATGGACACCAGAAGGCAGGAGAGCAGCAGCTCAGGATGAGTCAGGTTCTCCCTCCAAGTCCCCCAGCAGCTGCCCCCCTGACCATCTCTGCACGACTTTGCAACCAGGAGCATTCACAGTTTTCATTCCACAAGCCAATGGGAACCTTCCTGACACACAGGGAAAAATGGATTTTTCATTAAAGTCTTCCCTTTATTCTCTGCCTAGATTGAAACCCAGGGAGCCCCAATCTGTACTGTACTTTTGTTTCAACTAAACGAAATAAGAAAACAAAACAAAACAAGGTTGTTGTTAACCACACAATTGCAAAAAAGAAAAGCATAGTAGATGAGCAACCCAGAAAACCAACAACAAAAACAAAACTAGTTATAGTGAAAACTTGTCTAATGTTTCCCAAATGCTATTTTAATATCTCTGCATGTATTCTGTCAAAGAATCTGAATCTTGGATTAGTTGGTGGAGGAGGGGAACACTTTCTTAGAAACACACATTTCTCTGCTTGCTGCCTTTGAAACATAACTGCAGTCACATTTATCACTTGTGGTCACTGTTAAGGATATAAAGATTCCATCAGTATTCCTTGGAGTAAATACGATCACAAATTATGTGGGATTCCTATAAAAACCCTGTGTGATTCTAAACCGCTAAGGAAGCCTTCCGGTGGTAGCTCTTGATGACAAACTGCTTCTCTGTTCAAGAGTACCATGCCTAAGAAGAATTTTATAACTTCTAAAAACAAAAAACAAAGAATATCTTCTTTATAACGTGGTGCTTTTCTTGGTCAAATAAACAACCACCACGATAAAATGTGTTTTCGACTTTCATGTCTACGTTCTTTATTCTTTGAATTTTACACTTTGTTCTTTGGCTTTTATCTCTTCAATCATGCCATCAAATTATGCCAAAAGTAGTAGTGCACTTGATTGACAAGTAAGACTGCTCTGTAGTCGCTACTCCTAAAATATATTCACTTTCAAAATAGCATTGTGAACAAAGGAGTGGCAAATGCAATAAAAGCCACTTGATATATTTGCAATATCTTGTGTATATATTGGGTTTTTGTGGAATGACAGATTTATGTGGGACACACTATTTCTTTAAATCAGCTGAAAATTGAGCCCATTCTTTATATGTTGCCTCCATCATTAATTATAATTAAATAAGCGCCTTGTTAGCACAATCAGTCATGTAGACTTTTGATGTCTACAAGATGGATTTTTTAGAGATATATTAATATTGAACCACAAATGCCTCTTCCCTATTAAGTAGCAGTATTTATTGAGCTGCAGTCTTACATATGTTTACCTGGCTATTTACAAAAATACAATTTTCACAAAATGAAATTTCCATTGATTTCTGAAACTGATAAATCATTTTGTGTTTGTAATAAAGTCCCAGTTTATATAGAGAGCACCTGTCTCATAATTCAAGGGAAAACCTAACCATGGATTTAAATGTTGGGTTGACACAAATAGTTTTCTTTTTAGGTGATAGCTCTATATAACTACTAATTTTACTTTTTACCTTAAGTGGAATCTTTATATAAAATGAAGGCTTTCACGTTGTTAAAAAATGTATCTTGGGGGGGCGCCTGGGTGGCTCAGTCGGTTAAGCGTCTGTCTTCGGCTCAGGTCATGATCCCAGGGTCCTGGGATCGAGCCCCGCATCGGGCTCCCTGCTCAGTGGGAAGCCTGCTTCTCCCTCTCTCATTCCCCCTGCTTGTGTTATTGCTCTCGCTGTTTCTCTCTCTCTCTCTAATAAATAAATAAAATCTTTAAAAAAATGTATCTTGGAAAATTGGGAACTTCATCTTTTCAGATTAATTCAAATTTGGATGACATGTATGTTTGTCCGTTCTCCAATGCTCACGTGAGATACAATCGCAAAAACTCTAAGAGATGGTAGACGTGGGTCCTAGCACCAGTGCATGTGTCTGTCTCTTCCTTTAGAACAGGAACTCTGCAAAATAGTAAAGGCCGTAATCTAGAACCCAGGAGACAATATATGTTGAAGAAAAGAAGGGAATTAAATGAGGGGCTCATACTGTCCCCAAGGCCCCAGGGACTGCTGGGGAGACAGAAGTAGTGAGACGCCCTGTAGGTGGCTCCCTTGCTCACTTGTATGACAAGGACATGGACTACTCTTCTAAGGGGAACTTTCAGGTAGGTAGGGACACATCAAGTTCTAACCAAAATA